CTTGTTAATCTTGATCTGGATTTGAATATAAAATCTTTAATTTTTTATAAATATTCAAGAACAATGTTAAAAGTATTATAAATCATAACAATTGAATATAAAATCTTTAAATAGTGTAGACCTTGATTGTTTCAAATTTAACATTATGTTTTGTCTGCAGCCTATTACAGGAAATGGAGTGTCTAAAGTTTTGAAATCTGGTGATTCAAATTTTCAAGAAGGTGACTTAGTTTGGGGAATGACTGGATGGGAGGAATATACTAGTATTGTAACAACTACTCAAAGTATGTTTAAAATTGATCATGACAAGGATGTGCCTCTTTCCTATTATACAGGAATCCTTGGTGAGTGTTTTCGACTGGGTTAAAGTCTTACATTAGTTGGGGTCTCTACATATATGGATTTGAAAAAAATAATTTTCGGGATTGAGTTAGGCCCAGGCGTCATAACTTTACATGATATATATATATCTATATATGAACCAAGTTCATCCCTATTTGGGATCTTGGTCCACACGCTCCAGTTGGGCTTGCACTTGAAGGGGGGTCTAGAGTCCCACAGTGGTACTACAACAAAGCCAACTTTTAGCGGCAATAAATAGACACATTAATAAAGAGTGCTAAAGTCTTTACTGGCATTAGTTAAGTGTCGTTAGATCCAATGTCGCTAAAGGCTTTAGGGGCATATACAAAGAGTGCTAATTGCCACTAAAAATACATATTTAGTGCCAATTGATCTATTACCGTTAATTAATTGCCACTAAAGATCGTTTTTGATGTAGTGATGGTTGGTTGGGGAATAGACTGGTAATCTGCTTATATGGACTCAGACAATAATCTTCTGCTTTTGCAGGGATGCCTGGGATGACAGCTTATGCTGGATTTTATGAGGTTTGCTCCCCTAAGAAGGGAGAAACTGTGTTTGTTTCAGCTGCTTCTGGAGCAGTTGGTCAACTTGTTGGACAATTTGCAAAGATGTTAGGTTGTTATGTTGTTGGTAGTGCTGGAAATAAACAAAAGGTAAGTGCTTAAACATTTCATTCTTGAATTTTATTAGTGGCTTATAAGTTATCTTACTTATCTTAATCATTGTTAAATAATCTAGCTATCTCATCTATTCATTATTATTATTAAAGGTTGATATGTTGAAGACCAAGTTTGGTTTTGATGAAGCTTTTAACTATAAAGAGGAGCAGGATTTAGATGCAGCTTTGAAGAGGTAAGTAATCTTATAAATTCCCACAAGAAAACACTAACTAATATGGAAAAAAATAGTTTCCAGGGTGAAGGTGTTGGCAACGACTTCTTTTTTAACCTTAACGATGTGGGGGGTTAGGCTTGACCCCTACCATGTCTATAACATCCAAAAAGTTAAAAAAGTAGAGGGGGACATGGACCTAACCTCTTGATAGTGAACAACGAGGATAAACTAAACAATCTACAAAAAGACCAAGATGACATAGACTTTCATACTATAAGAAAAATACACTGGTTCAATTAACAAAAAAATTAAATTTGTCGTATCTTCTCCTTATGCTAAAGTTGCCACTTATCTAGTAGAAATAGTCCCTTCACCTCAGAAGAATTGTGTGTGGTGGATTGAACATTAAGGGCATATATGAAAAGATAGCTAATATAACGCTAAAGGTATATATGAACTGATAGTATAACGGAAAAGCAATACTAGACCTTTAATTTTCAATAATATAGGAGTAAATATGACCTTTTTTTCGTATTGGTTTATTCTATTAGGTACTTCCCTGATGGAATTGCCATTTACTTTGAGAATGTTGGAGGTAAGATGCTTGATGCAGTTCTTGTGAATATGAAACTTCATGGTCGTATTGTTGTGTGTGGAATGATTTCACAATACAACCTTGACAAGACTGAAGGAGTGCACAACTTGTTTTGCCTTATCGCGAAACGAATCCGTATGGAAGGATTTCTTGTTTTTGATTACTATCATCTTTATCCTAAATATTTGGAAATGATCATTCCACAATAAAGGCTGGTAACATTGTGTATGTGGAAGACATAGCTGAAGGTTTTGAAAGTGCTCCTAGTGCTCTAGTTGGTCTCTTCTCTGGTCTCAATGTTGGAAAGCAAATTGTGATGATTTCATGTGAATGAATGGATTTGGATCTTTTCCATTTTCTCTCAAGTTTTTACTTGAAAGGAAAGATATTGTGTCATGGTTAAATACTTAAATACGCAAACATTTCTATCATGTATTTACTAATTCTCTGTGTGGTTTGAAATAATTAGTCATTAATTGATAGTTTCATACTAGATTTCAAGTCAGATATACTTAGGTACATGTACTTTTGCTGCTAGATACATTCTGAAATGCAGATACATAGGAAGAGAGTGAGCGAAAGAAGAGAAAGGAGAGATGAGAGAGGCGAGAGGCAAGCGAAAGAGTTAGTGTATTCCAGATATATGCAAATTACACTAGATACATATAATATGAGTGAGAGAGTCAGTGTTTCCAAATACATATAAATTATCCTTGAATACAGTATATCATGGATGTGTCGCATACATGTGTTTGGGAACTGAAATCTGACACAAACAATAATTTCAAAGAGGCACATAATTAAACTCTAAATTAAAGAAATTCTTATCGTTTGCCCTTGAACTTATTTAGGCAAATAACAATAATTTTTAATAAAATAAACAGCAATAAAATACATGGTGAATAGCAATGATCATTAGAGTAAATATAATGTATTTTATTAATATTGAAATATGTGAAAAGAAAAATATTATAGTGTAGCACAAGATTGTAGGAGGTGTTTATGAAAAAGAGAAGGGCAAAGCTTTTAAATTTGATGGGTAGATATCCTAAGTAGGGAAAATAAAAGGTCGGAAGAGATTAAAGATTGCGAGATTAATAATAATTAATAAAATTAAATATATATAATATAGTAATGATGAGTATATTTTCTTAGAAAATGAATGAGTTTCATATATATTTTCTTATATTTAATACGCGTAAGTAAAAAATATTTGTGTATAATCTAGAATACTATGTCAGGTAGGCATGTGGGATATATATTGTTTCCCGATGGGGATGAGAGTGTAGATAAAGTGTGTTAGAGAATGGGGAGGACACAACTGAAGTTGAATTTCATTTGCGAAACTTATTTTCCTACTTTCAGGCATGGGAGGAACCAACCTTCAGATGAACCCCCTTTGACAAAAATATTACTATTTATACATGGTTAAAATTATTTTTTATGTATATATAATAGATGTCGAACTCCCTTCAGTTAGTTCGTGTGTTTAGTTCTTTAGATATTGAACCCCCTTATTAAAAATCCTAGGTCCGCCACTGCTTCCAGGATAACTTTTACTATACGAACATGAAAAAATTACTGGGCATATGAGTTTGATATAGCCCATTTGATACCTTCGTATCCGAGTTCTCAAAATTTCACTTCAAAGGTGCTGAGTTGGAATCCCATTCTAACTAACGATTCTTGAGGTTCCGGAGGTACAACTACAGGAGAACCAGGATTGGAGGGCTCCCCCGCCCCCCGTTCCGCCCAACTCTTTGGTCTTAAGAACGCTGGTTTTAAGAATGAGTCATTGCCTTTCTCCGACCCTGACTACCCAGCCTGAGAGCGGACAGCTAATGCGTTCCACTTATTGAACAGGGTCCTATGGTCGGTCCGTGACCCCCGGATGCCGAAGCCATCCTTGGGGTGATCTCATAGTTCCTACGGGGTGGAGATGATGGGGTCGGTCCATGGATTTTCCTTCCTTTTCTTTTGCCGCATTACGCTCAAAGGGTTGAAGGGAGATAGTGCATCAACCTGTTCGCAAGGGCCAACTTGATCCTATTCCCCAGAGATCTCAGATGAGGGAACCCTGGGAGAGAAAAATGTTTCCTCCGCGCACCCTATTTTATTTTTCGTTTCTTGTTCAAGAACCCTTTAGATGTTAGAAACATTGAGGATAAGTGAACTTCATTCTCCCAACTGAATGTTTATTCATTATGTATATATGATATGAATGGATTAACAATTTGTCCTATGATAATGTTTCTCATAAGTACTTCTCTTTTGTGTTATGTTATAGCCTATCACAGGATGTGGGGTGGCTAAAGTTTTGAAGTCTGGTGATTCAAATTTTCAAGAAGGTGATTTAGTTTGGGGAATGATTGGATGGGAGGAGTATAGTATTGTAACTGCTACTCAGAGTGCTCTGTTTAAAATTCATGACAAGAATGTACCCATATAGACGATCCCAGCTTGTTTTAGACTGAGACGTAATTGTTGTTGTTGTTTATTGAAGCTTAAAGGATGTTTTTGCTCTTCTCATGTGTTGACATGGGGATCAATAGGTACAATAAAAGTCTTCTTGGGGATAAACTAGGGAAGTTCCCTGCGCCTTTACTTATGAACACTGTGCACTTTGCGATGCAAGCTGTTTTGTCCAAGGCCATTACCGGGTTTTGGCATCAACGATTTCAACCTACAGTGATGATGTCTTGGAGAGACTATTCTTTGAAAGGTAACATCATGACTAATAATGCTCTTTTTTCTTCTTAACAACTAATACTATAGACGGCCTTCGCCTTTCACAGTTGTACCAACAGCTCTCACAACAGCAATGGATGTGAACCTCAGCAATGCATCCCTTGTTTTCATCTCAGTCACATTTTCCACTATGGTGTGCAACTCTTTCTCCTTATACAGTTTGTGTCAATACTGATAGACTGCAAATTTTTCTTCAAAAATTGAGCTCTGAGAAAGCAAGCTTTGTTAAACTCACGACCCTAACATTTGTCGAGGGCTCTAGTATTTGCATTTATGTACCTTGAAATTTATCAGTCACAACTCTCTGCCACTAAAGTAAGTGTGATTGTCAAAGCCTTCAAGGGCCACTCAAATAATCGTCTATTATTGATAAGAATAACAGATTTCTTACTTTGTTTTCTCCTTCCTTATTCTGATACGAATGCTGGATTCCTAAATGCAATTTATGTCATTGCAGTGTAAATCTGCATCTCCCATCTTTCTCCTATTCTTCGCATTTGCTTTCAGGTACTACTTTTAATCACTGATCTCTTTTGTTTTATTGTGCTTTTTTTATGGGGGTAGCCGGTCCAGAAGCATCGTATTTCTACTTGATCCTTTGTTATAGATGTACATCCAACATTATTGTTCGTAAATGCGACTTTTTATTCCATATGAGGACTCAATAGAATATGATTGTTAATTCACTATGAACTAAAAACCTGAAAGCATCTTTGAAACAACTATCTTTGATGAATACGACACATTTGACGGGGATCATATCTAAGCTGAATATATGGCCTCAATTATTTGTGGAAGGTTGGAGTCTCCAAGTGTAAAGCTGCTGGGGATCATCTTGGTCATTTCTGTTGGGATACTATTAACAGGTATGTTCCATGCTTGCATTTAGTTGTCTTGGTATTGTTTTTCGTATTTTATATTCTCTTATATGCAAAAGTATTCACAATTTTCATCTTCATCTGTCATTCATAAATCATATCCGTAACCTTCACTTGTGCACCAGATAAAACGTTTACTTTATCATACAATATTTTTCGTTTCACAACTATCATCGATAATTTGGATAAACATAGGTAATCTTCTTAATGAGTGTCTTCGTAAGCTTTATCGTCTTGTGGATAACTGTGTCGTTTGTTGATTTACATCCGTTTGGTAGATAAGTCTGACTCCATTTTCTGATAATGCAGTTGCAAAGGAGACAGAATTTGAGTTTTGGGGATTTGTCTTTGTTATGCTTGTTGCAGTCATGTCTGGATTTCGATGGACTATTACTCAGATTCCTCTGCAGGTTGGATTTTGCGACACTCGTTGCATTATTATCATTGATTTCTCGTTCCGTTGTTTTGTCAATAGTATGTTTGCTTACTTTGTGTATTTTTCTGTTTGTTTTCCCATATCCAACTGGTTGTGCTGAACATAAAACTGGCATAAAGAAAGAAGCCTATGGTAAGGACTATGAACAACTCTTAGCAAATTTTAAACATTCTGGAAATGTTATTATCATCATCATTATTATTAGCAGTCGTAGCAGCAGCGACTGCACCACTACTTAGACTACATCAAATCTGATCTTGTTTTAAAAGGACAGTTCGATGCACGAAGCATCTTGCATTCACGTGATGTAGGCAGCCTACCCTGATACAAATCAGCGGCTAATTCCACAGCTCAAACCCTGCTTTGTCTTAGTCCTTGTTTTGACCAAATTAATATGTTGAAAATCGTTATTTGTTTTATAGTTTGTGAATAAATTGTGTAATGAAATGCATGCTTTGGTTATTGCAGGTTTAAAAAATCCACTCACACTAATGAGCTATGTTACTCCGGTAATGACTCTTTCAACTGCTGTGTTGTCCCTTATTTTTGATCCGTGGCACGAATTCAGACACACCAATTACTTTGATACGTCATGGCATATAGCTAGAAGTTGTTTGTTGATGCTTTTTGGCGGAACTTTGGCTTTCTTTATGGTATGTATGTGTCCAAGCACTGGTATCAGTTCAATTTGTGGATTTTCCATCTCATAGTGAAAATGAAGCCTTCTAATAGGCTTAGTTCGTTTAGAAATGATTATCAATTATTAAAGAACTTGGACGTACATAACGATAAGTACTTCTTCATGCTTACCTAGCAACGTTTGTTTACTGCAGGTGTTGACGGAATATATTCTTGTGTCTATCACAAGTGCAGTAACAGTGACAATAGCGGGAGTTGTAAAGGAGGCGGTAACTATCTTGGTACGTCGTAGTAGGTTCAACCTTTAAAGTGTCTATCTATGTATTATGTCAAAGCAATTTTATGCACTTTTAAGTCCTATTTTTGCTGGTTGACTGAAGCTTACTTACCTCAAAGATATTGTACTATTCGAACACTGATAGACTGAGATAGGACGTGGATTGCTTCAATCTTGAATATTTTTCGATATTTGTCAAATATCTATGGTCTATGGAGTCCATGGTTTCAACAATTTGTGTAATAGCTGGTAATTTGCTGCCCTGTTCAGGTTGCTGTGTTTTATTTTCACGACGACTTTACCTGGATGAAAGGGTTCGGTCTCCTGACGATAATGTTTGGTGTCAGTTTGTTTAACTGGTACAAGTAAGTGACTGAATCCTTCATGTTCTAGCAAGAAGTTATCTCATAATGTCTCGTTCTGCACTGACATTAAAATTAGATTTACTGAACACAATATGTGTGCATTCTGTTTTATGTTATCAATTTATGATCCTCAGTTAGTAGACACCTTAACTTAGCCTCAACTGATCAAAGTAAACACTCCAACTTTGAGAATACGCATCTAGACACCTCAACTCGTCCCCACTGTGTCTCGTGACATTGACATGACAAATAGATTTTGGAGGTGTCTATGTTGATTGTTTTGTAAGTTGGAGTGTTCAACTGACATAGTGAAGACGAGTTGAGGTGTCTGGATGCGTGTTCTCAAAGTTGGAGTGTTTAAACTGTTCCTAGCACTTTAGTCATCCTTAATCAAAACGACTATATGTTTACTTAAGCTATAGTAGTTCAATCAAATTGTTGATATCGAGCCATTTTTAGTCGAAAATGGGACTTTGGCATGGTTTAATGGCATGTGTTGAAGTCGTAATTTTTCCATTTTTCGTTAATCAGGTATGACAAAATACATAAAGGTAGCACAAGTGAAGATGAAACTGGATCACCATTAGTAAATGCAGCTACCAAGTATGTTATACTTGAAGAAATGGAAGATCAAGACCACAGTCCTTGAAGTTTTAGTCATAGTCATAGTTTATTTTATTTGTAATTCGCAGCAAACATCCCATTTTTTTGTTCATCTGGTTCGGTATACAATTACTCATTCGGTATACAAATGTATAAAATGTGTTTGTATTTGTATAAAGTGAGAGAAAAAGTGTATATACAAATACAGATACAAATACATATATTTTCATCTTATACACTTATAATTAAACAAATACAGATCTTATTATACAAAATACAATGTATAAATGAATTTATACAAAACTGAACAATTTGTATAAATTGGATGTATCTAGCAAATTATACAAATCAAAAGCTCCATAACAAACATAAAATTTGCTATGAAACGCAATTATGCAAACTATAGTTATAACATACAAATATAATTTTTATGTTTGCTATATTGAAAGTTGCTCTAATTTTTTTGTGAAAGACATTCTACATTTACTTCTTAAGGAAAAGACACACTACATTTACTTCTCAAGGAAAAGGCACTCTCTTTTGGGAAGATGCATGGTTAATTCCGAACGAAACTCAAAGACAGAAATTTATAGGCCCTCTACCTTGGAATGCCCTAACAAAGACACTGTTGTGAACACGACTGGACAAGTTGTGGGCTTGAGGCTAACTAAACCACAAAGAGGCCCAAGAATTAGACAGCCCAATACTTGTTTTCCTTGGGATCCAGGTTGAGTAGACTTGATTTATCGTATTCATAATTTCTAGCAAATTACAACGGAAGGGGATGAAAAAATGCGTAGATTTTCTAGCAAATGAAGGTCAATCGTATACATGAGGAGGATTTGTTAATCAAGGAAGATGAGGAAGTTGAGTTTTTTCACCTAGTAAACTTTAAGACATGTTGCTTATAGAAGGGAAATATATTACTCCCTATGTGCTAAAAAAATAATTATATACATTTTTATACTTAGTAGAAATTTAACTTTTAAACTTCTCATTTTACCCCTAAAGTTAGGGGTGGAAGTTTGGTATTCGGTTCGAGATTTCCAAATTTTAAATTCGATAATTCAATAATTGATAGTTAAAAATAGATTCAATTCAGTACGGTATTCAGTACTATCATATCGAAGTTATAGTCTATTGTATAACAAAATTAATATTGTTACTTCAGTCATTTTGATTTTTTTATATGAATGCACGATATAATAGAAAATTAACAACTAAGAAGACATCAAGATCTCTGCCACTGTATACATGATTTGTATTAATGCAAGATTGTGTTTAATCCATTGTTAATGACCTTCTCAAAAAATATTTATAAATTTCCTAGGGAAGCCAACTTATTTTTTAAAACATGTCAGAGTAATAATTTCTGGAACAACTTGACGTAAAAACAGGTTGAACCTTATCTCGATTCGGTATTATTTTCTCCGTTTATTTTTATTTATTTTAATTTAGAAAATTAAAAAATAATTTATGTTTTCTCAGCAGTTTAGTTTAGAAAATTAAGAACAACTCCCTCTCTCAGTCTCGCTCGCCATTCTCCTCCCTATAACATGTAGCTACGAATTATAATTAACAAATTATATTACTCCCTATTTTATGCGGCACTTTTCAAATTTTGAGATTCAATTAAGTCTATCTATAACTGTAAGTTTTTTATAGATCTTTTAAACATTTTAAATTATCAATTATTGTGACTTATAACACTTTCTACATAGTTTATAAATATATAAATTTCATTTTAAAAAATTAAAGATATCTTCGCAAATTTCCAGCGAAACTTAAAACTTTCAAAAAAATGAAAAGTGTCACATAAATTGGGACAGATGAAATAATAATATTAATACCTAGCAATATTTAATAATTTATTGGTTGGTACACCTAACAATCTCGTAATCGTATAGCAACAATATTTTAATACTCCCCCTGTCCCATATTATATGTCACCTTTTTCATTTGCATTTGCATTAAGAAATGAATTATCAATTATTGTGTCTTATAACACTTTTTATATAGTTTACAAATATATAAATTTCATTTTAAAAAATTAAAGATATCTTCGCAAATTTTCGACGAAACTTAAAACTCTAAAAAAATGAAAAGTGTCACATAAATTGGGACAGATGAAATAATAATATTAATACCTAGCAATATTTAATAATTTTTCGGTTGGTACACCTAACAATCTCCTAATCGTATAGCAACAATATTTTAATACTCCCTCCGTCCCGTATTATATGTCACATTTTTCATTTGCACTTACATTAAGAAATGAAGTAATTTTACCCTTATGCCCTTATTTAATGTTTGCTTAAAACAACTTTGTAATAAATGATGAATAGGTTAGATTTCAAAAATATAAATGCATTTGGATGACTTTAAATTTTAGAGTTTATTTTTGGAGCCAAAAAATTTCACCAATTGATCCAAAAAAAATTAAAAATCAAGTTTTTTCCACCTCAATTTTCCTATATATTTTGTGTAAAATGTTTTTTTATATTTTATATATAAATTCTTAAAGCAAACATGACAACATCACAAAATATTCAAATTCCATTACTTTAAATTAATCTAAATTTTCCTGCTGAATCTGATGTTATTGATAATGAAATTAGACGACAAATGAATTTTAGTTCTAGTTCGACAAATCATTTATTTTTTTTATTTAAACATCGAGGCACATATTAAAGAAGATTTGAATACAAATATTGGTTTGTTGTTTTGTTTAAAATTTTGATTCGTATTTTAATTGTTTTATTTATATTTATATACTTAATTCATTTTTACAATACCATTTGAAGGGCTGCAAACTGCATCAGAAGAAGATATATTATCGAAAGAGTCAACTACAAATATTGGTTTGTTGATATTTTTTTTCAAAATTAGATTCTATAGAATAAGTAGTGAATAAAGAAAGTAGTTAATTAATGAATGAAGTACTCTCCCAATGAAATTAATTACTTGTAGATTTTCTAGGTTAATCAAAGTAAATACATTTTCAAGATTAATTGATTAATCTATCAAGGGTATAATGGAAAAAATATGATAATTTATGCATAAATTTTATAAAATGATATATATTGTGGTCCAGCTATTTTTAGAAAGGGATGACATATAATAGGGTTACGGAGGGAGTAAAAGATCCGTACACATGCAATTGGTTACTGATTTAAAATAATTTGTCTCTACTCTCATCCAAATATGTAATCTGACTGATTTTATGTTATTTTTATTCTTTATTTCAAGTATGCATAAAAAAACAAATGTAATATACATAATTATTTAATTAAATTGAAAAAAAAAGTTAAGTTTTTTTTAAAAAAATGGACAAGATTCAACAAGAAGAAAGGTAGAAGAGAGATGAAAAATGGTAATGGGCTTGAGGTGGGGGAGGGGTGAGTGTAGAGGCTAATTATTTATTTATTTTTTAATTTATATAAACACAAAATTAGATCAATTATATAAGGTTATATATTAAATAATTTTTAATTATTTAAATAGAGAAGGACCCAAAATTTTCCCAAGCTATGACATTTAATTTGTATAATATTGTCCTTTGTTCATATTAAAGTGTGGTCCGTAAAAAATAAAGACATATTGTACCAAACAAGTTAACGCTGAGAGCATTTCTAACTCGAAAAATTGACGAAGAACAGTTTTATATCAAATAAATATGAATCCTTTTACAAAATTTTAAAAGTTATCTTTACTTTCTTAAATTAATTTCCCGTGAAACTAAGATACGCAAACTGGAACTAACGGAGTAACTTAGTACTAATTCGATTTGCTTCATACTATTATTTTAGTACTATGATTATCTCTTTTTCCTCTTCGATTATTAGGGCCACATTTAAACTGCTTGCACAACATTTCTAGCTGTAATTGGTAGGTAAAGTCCTTGAGTGAACAGCTAAGAAAAAGAACAAAGCATTGAACATGTGGGAAAAAATATATCACTCCCTCCATATTATTGTATTTTTCACTTGACACGATATTTAAAAAATTTAAAATAATTTATAGTTATTTAAATATCTATGACTCGATTATTTTATTTCATAAGTTTTAAAAGTTTATTCTTTCTTAAATTTAATGTCGATTTAAACTAAGGACAATCGAGTAATATTTAGTTTATGTAGCACTTTTTTAAATTTTACTTCCTTTGGTCAATTTATGTAGCACTTTTTGTTTTTCGATAGTTAAATGGTTTAATAAAAAATTTGCGCATTGAATCTTTAATTTTTTATACTTAGTAGAAATTTAACTTTTAAACTTCTCGTTTTACCCCTAAAGTTAGGGGTGGAAGTTTGGTATTCGGTTCGAGATTTCCAAATTTCAAATTCGATAATTCGATAATTGATAGTTAAAAATAGATTCAATTCAATACGGTATTTAATACTATCGTATTGAAGTTATAGTCTATTGTATAACAAAGTTAATACTGTTACTTCAGTCATTTTAATTTTTCTATGTGAATGTACGATATAATAAAAAATCAACCATGAAGAAGACATCAAGATCTCTGCCACATGATTTGTATTAATGCAAGATTGTGTTTAATCCATTGTTAATGACCTTTTCAAAAAATATTTATAAAATTCCTAGGGAAGCCAACTTATTTTTTTAAACCAAGTCAGAGTAATAATTTCTGGAACAACTTCACGTGAACCTTATCTCGATTTGGTATTATTTTCTCCCTTCATTTTTATTTATTTTAATTTAGAAAATTAAGAAATAATTTATGTTTTCTCAACAGTTTAGTTTAGAAAATTAAGAACAACTTCCTCTCCCAGTCTTGCTTGCCACTCTCCTTCCTATAACATGTAGCTACGAATTGTAATTAACAAATTATATTTATAAAGCGTAATTAGATTGTTTTTGAGTGGCTATATATGAAAGTTCCTCATTTTTTTATTTCGTAAAATTTTATTTTTAACAAAAAAAATTTATATCAACAAATTTTAATTAATGTAAATATCACTTCATTAGTATATCGATCTGATCAATTTACTATCAGTTTAGTTTTAAATAATACTTTGATCTTTGTTAATGAATTAATTGTTTGATAATAAATTTAAGTCTAAATTGTTAATTTCAATACATGAATATTCTTAATTTAATTTGTTCATTAGTTGATCCATTGATCCAATGAGCTAATTTGAAACATTATACACGTTTTTATTTTAAGATCATGAGATTTTAAAAATCGTCTTTACTTTCTTAAATCAATATTTTATATAATTAAGACACACAAATTAAAATTAAGGGAGTAACTTAGTACTGATTTGATTTGCTTGACACTGTTCTTTTAGTCTGTGTCAACACTAGTGTTCACTGTTTGGATAAAAACCGATCCAAATCGAAAAACCAAATCAAATCGATAAAATAAAACCCATTTTATTTGGGTTTAGTTTGATTTTAGATTTTTGAAAATCGGTAGTATTTGGTTTGGTTATGGTTTTACTCGAAAAAACTGAGGAAATAATCGAACCGAACTGATGAATTATATACATATATTTTATTAATATACATACTTAATATATTGTTTTTATAAACAATTTTAAAGATCTTATATATGTTTTCAATAAAATTTCTTTATATTTTACTTATTGAAAGCAAAGAATGCCCAAGGCGAAAACATTTATCTTATTGATTTCATGTAATATGAGTGTCTATGACAATTCTTTGTTAGACTGAAAATGTTATTGTCACTTCCTTTTTGGGCAATATAGTGAATTTTAAAGTTTTATTGATAGTAAATTCAATGATCGAAAGTTCGGTAATTTAAGTCATTCTAACTATTTTTTATTTTGAATGGATTGTTGTCACTTTTTTCACATTTTGAATGAATTGTTTCTTTTATTTATGTGTATGGTTAATAACCGAACCAAACTAAACTGAAACCGATAACCACCAAACCGGTAAATGTATATTATATTTGGTTTGGTTTGGTTTTGATAATTTTAAAACCGATTAAGTTGGTTTGGTTTTAATTTTGACCAATAACCGATCCAAACCAACTCGTAAACACCCCTAGTCAACACAAACCTAATAACACAGATAGAAAGACAATTAAGGTTTTTTAAAAAGTATTTTATTATTAATTATGGTAATATATAAAAAAAAAATTATCTCAATATATATGATACTGATAAATTTTCATGAGTACTCACAACTACTGAATTTGCACATGCAGTTTGTGTGGCTGCGTGCGGAAAGGTCAGTATGTCTCTATCTTGAGATAAAATTATTTCATAAGTTGAGATATTTTATGAGATAATTAGTTATCTCACTAATATATATATATATATATATATATATATAAATATATTTTACTCTTATTATAAACATATTTTACTATTATAAAATAAATAATTTCAAGACTAACTTATACTTCTAATTAAATGAAAAATAATATTATTTATATTTTATTTTGAAATTATTATTTCGTTTTCTTTGTACCAAATTGATATGAACCCTTAAGCTTTTCCTCTTCAATTATTAGGGAGCCCACTTAAGGCTTGTACAACATTGCACATTTAAATAATGATTTTAGTGATAATTTGTATTTTACTTTATGTGTTATTTAACTATGCACATTTAAATGGTGATTTTAGTGATAATTTCTATTTTACTTTATGTGTTATTTAACTATGTACATTCTTAATTATTTGAAGGGTAGGTTTTGGTGCTTGAAGTTAACAAAAGTAAACTACTCTTATTTAATAAAATGATTATTTGAAAATATAAAATAAAATAAACGGTTGATGATTCTAAATACTTGAGTGTTGTAATTGGTGGTAGAATAAATTTACTCTAGTCCCTTAACAAAATTCAAAAGTAAGTCATATCATCTTGCATTCTAAGTATTCGATTAAATTCCTAGCTAAAACGATAGTTTAGTTTTAGAATTTAATTACTCAATCACTTTTTTGTTTGAAGACAAGGTTAGAAAATTCGCAAAACCACAGTCTTTAACATCTTGACACAAGTCTACTCTTTGTGGGATCGACCCAAATTTTTGTTGAGTTTATTATTGCTATGAGGCCAAAGGCCAATTTATGTATATATTTGGGGGTGTACGTGCACCCGTTAATTTCGGAAAGAATCACACATATATATATATAATTATCAATCTTGAGAAACTTTCAGAAACTAAATATACTCCCTCCATTCTATATTAATTGAATTGTTGAGACATTTTTCATTTTTCATTTTTCAAATTTAATTGTTCAGTTTTCAAGACTACATTTAGAGTGTTCTTCCAATTTTTACCCTTCATTAGTTAGTATTGAAATTAGTGATTAATTAATATTTAGTTATTTTAATTATAATTTTGACAATAATTAATAAGGGTAAAAATGGAAAACTATGTTCAATTTATGTCTTAATCTATTTTTCTTAAAGGATGTGAAACACCTCAAAAATTAAATATTACTCCCTCCGTCTTATTTTATACGACACTTTTCGAATTTCAAGATTTAAATAAGTCAATCTTTGATTGTAAGTTTTTTATAGATCTTTTAAACATTTTGAATTATCAATTATTGTGACTTATAGTACTTTTTAAATAGTTTACAAATATATAAATTTCATTTCAAAAAATTGAAGATTTCTATGCAAATTTCCGGCCATACTTAAACTCTTAAAAATTAAAAGTGTCACATAAATTTGAACGGATGAAATAGTAATATTAATACCTAGAAATATTTAATAATTTATCGGTTGGTAGTTGCTACGCCTAACAAACTCGTACTTCGTATAGCAACAATATTTTAATAAAAGATCCGTACACATGCAATTGGTTACTGATTTAAAATAATTTGTCTCTACTCTCATCCAAATATGTAATCTGACTAATTTGATGTTATTTTATTCTTTATTTGATTTCAAATATGCATAAAAAACAAATGTAATATACATAATTATTTAATTAAGTTGAAAAAAAAGAGTTAATTTTTTTTAAAAAAATGGACAAGATTCAAGAAGAAAAGTAGAAGATAGATGAAAACAGGTAATGGTTGCGCCGGGGGGGGGGGAGTGTGGAGGCTAATTTTTATTTTTTTTAAATTTATATGGAACTCAAAATTAGATCAATTATATAAGGTTATGTATTAAATATTTTTTAATTATTTAAATAGAGAAGGACCCAAAATTTTCCCAAGCTATGAGATTTAATTTATATAATATTATCCTTTGTTCATCTTAAAGTGTGGACCGTCAAAAATAAAGACATATTGTACCAAATAAGTTAAAGTTGAGAGCATATCTAACTTGAAAAATTGACGAAGAACAGTTTTATACCAAATAAATATGAATCCTTTTACGACATTTTAAAAATTATGTTTACTTTCTTAAATTAATATCCCGTGAAACTAAGATACACAAACTGAAACTAACGGAGTAACTTAGTACTAATTCGATTTGCTTCATACTATTATTTTAGTACTAGACATATAAACTCAATACAGACTCAATAGCATAGATAAAATTTTGGAAGGCAATGAATTTTTTTTATATAAATATTTTATATTATTACATAATTATTATTAAAATATGATACTTTCACAATATTTTTTTTCTATCCTAATTTATGTGATACTGATTAATTTTTGAGAGTACAATCAAAACTACTGAATTTCCACATGCAGGCTTTGTGTGAGAAAAGCTCTAATTTTTGGAATATTTTCTTGTTGTGGTGCAGGCTACAACGTACAATAATAAGCTCTATATCTTTTAATCTTTTACTTTATTTATCTTTAAAAAGGTTACTGTATTTGATTTGTGGGATTAAAATTTAAACGTGATATTTTTGAATTATGCGAAAATAAAATTTATCTTATAAATTGAGATATTTTTTGAGATAATTAATTATTTTTCTATATATAAAATTTTTTTATCTCACCATTATAAATTATACAATTTAAGAACTTACTAATACTCATTATATATATATATAATAATTTTAAATTTTAGGTCAAATAATTATCTTTTTTTCCTCTTCAATTACTAGGGTCACGGTTAAACGACTTGCACAACATTTCAAGCTGTAATTGGTAGGTTAAGTCCTTGAGTGAACAGCTAAGAAAAAAGAAGAAAGCATTCAACATGTGGGAAAAAAGATATTATTGTACGAACATCTTTTCACTTGACACGATATTTAAAAAATAATTTTTTTAAAAATTTATAATTTAAAATAATTTATAGTTATTCGAATATCTATGACTCGATTATTTTATTTCAGAAGTTTTAAAAGTTTTTCTTTTCTTCTTTCTTAAATTTAATGTCGATTTAAACTAAGGACGGTCGGAGTAATATTTGGTTTATGTAGCACTTTTCTTAAATTTTACTCCCTGGTCAATTTATATAGCACTTTTCGTTTTTCGATAGTCAAATGGTTTAATCAAAAATTTGCGCATGGAATCTTCAAATTTTTTGAAATAAAATTTATATATTTATGAACTACGTAAAAGTACTAGAAATTACAAAAAATATATAAAAAATTTATGATCAAAGATAGAATTGTTTGATCTCGAAATGTCAACTCAATTATTATCGAGTGGTCGCATTTGTACAACTCAAGTCTGTGATCACCTCCTTTCGCATGTTAATTAATTCCATTTCATTCTTTTTTAAATACATTATACATATTTTTAATTGGTTTTAAAAGTCGTATTTACTTTCTTAAATTAATATCCTGTCAAATTAAGACACATAAATTGAAATTGAGGGAGTAACTTAGAGAGTGTTTGGATTTGTTTAAAAGTTGGTCAAACTTACTTACAAGTCAGATTTTTACTTCTGAAACTGTTTGACAAATACATAAGCTTGTACCAATACAAATCCAGTAATGCAAATGAAAAGACAATTAAATTTCTTTTTAAAAAATATTTTAAATTATTAATTATTATTTTTTATCTCAATTTATGTGATACTGATAAATTTTCGAGAGTACTCACAACTAGTGAATTTCCACTCTAATTTAAGTTAGGGATATTTTCTTCTTTATGAACTTATATATACATTACTTGTTCATTTCATTCTTTTTAGGACAAGTTAAGTTTGAGTACATTTAACTATGAACTATTCAATGCAAGTTAAGATTTTGTCCAAAAACCTCATTAAACCATCATTACCAACGCCACAACACCTTAAAAATTACAAGTTATCTTTCTTTGATCAAGTGGCGGATGTAGCACACTTACCTCTTGTTCTTTTCTATCCTCATTGTGACAATAACATGAAAAATGATGAACTCGAAGAGTCCTTATCGAGGATTTTAACACATCTTTACCCTTTAGCTGGTCGATTTGCTGAAGATGAATCGTCAATTATTTGTCTCGATCAAGGTGTAACTTATATAAAAGCAACGGTCAATTGTAAGCTTGATGATTTCCTTCAACAAGCAAACAAAGACGTTGATCTAGCATTGCCATTTTGGCCTCAAGGAATTATGGATGTGGACGAGACGAATTTATTCGTCATGCCACTTCTGGTTGTGCAAGTCACAACATTTGAATGTGGTGGTCTAGCCCTAGCTATTAGCCATGCACACCCTGCTATGGACGGATGCACCACATTCAAATTCATTTATGAATGGGCTAAAGTGTGCAAATTTGGTACTCCTTCTAAGGATATCAACTTGAACCTCAATTTAGGCACTCTTTTCCCTTACAAAGATTTAACAACTATTCTTGAGCCTCCGGTTGACGAAGGCAAACGTAAAAACTCTAAGTTAGTTGCCAGAAAGTTTGTTTTTGAGGAAGATGCAATATTGAGGCTCAGAGAGAAATTTGACTCAACAACTAGCGAAGGTTTGAGTTTCAAACCTTCGCGAGTTGAGATGATTACAACACTTTTATGGAGGTCACTTATCCGTTCCACAGGAAGTACTTCACATTTGAAACGGTCTATAATGGCATTTCCAATTAATTTACGTGGTAAGGTAGCAGCTTTTCCTGAAATTGCCAACTCTTTTGGGAATCTTATTATCGAAATTCCAATAAAATTTGAACACGACGATGAAACAAAAATGGAGTCGTTGCATCACATTGTAAAACTAATAAGAGAGTCAGTTCAAGTGATTATCAGTAAATGTGTCAAAGCTACTCCGGATGAAATAGTTTCTTTGGTTATCGACTTATACAAGGATAGTTACGCCGGATTAGAATGGGGAGGAGACAATGAAGTTGTGAATTTTACGTGCTCAAGTTTATGTAGGTTCCCCGTACAAAAAACTGATTTTGGTTGGGGAGAACCAAGTTTGATGCACTTTGGGTCAAGACATAGCCAAGTTTTTTGGTTGTATGATACTGAATGTGAGACTGGAATTGTTGTGCAAATGGATTTGGAGGAAAAGTACATGGATAAACTTGCATGTGATCAAGATATCATGGATTTTGCTAAATTTTAGGGTTTAATTTTCATGTTCTTTCATTTAATCTGTACTCCCTTCATTTTAATTTAAGTATGTGTGTTGCTATTGTTTTTTCTTTGGTTTGTTTTGAATATGAATGTCATTTTCTATGAACACGCTTTGACTATAATTAAGTAGCATTTTAACTTGTAGCAAGGATTCTACTAAAATAAATATATAATAAGATTTCTGTTAGAATTTTTGTTTAGTGTAGTGGCGAATGTTCGCTACAAAAAATCACTATTTAGTGGTGACTTTCAAAAGTCGTTAAATAACATTTAGTTATGGATTCACATATATCTAGGATATATACATTGACTCTCTCCTCACATCTCTCATCTCTTGCTCTCCTTTCTTCCTCTCTCGCTCCCCTCTCTTCCTATGTATCATAGATGCATTTATCTAGTACTGTGATTCACATGTATCTGGGATCTCGCCTCTCTCCTCTCTCGCTCGCTTCTTTCCTCTCTCGCTCACCCCTTTTCCTCTCCCGCTAGCTCCCTAAGTATTTGTATTTCAGAGAGTATTTAGAAGCAATTTAGGTGTATTTGATTTGAAATTTTGTATGAAATTATTAATTAGTGAAATGATATGTAATTGTTTCAAACCTTAGAAAAAAATAGTAAATATGATAAGAATGTTTATTTATATAAAATATTTTTTTTAAAATTAAAAAATAGTGAAAGGAAATATATATATATATAGTCATTACTTTAGTTTCTTATAGTCAAGTCAGCCCGACAAGGAAGAGCCAGAACCCTCAGTAGAGAGTTGGAGGAGCAGTATATGAAGCCTCACCGTTTTGGGAAATATTTGGGCATTTAGGGGTCACTTTACAGGAACTAGGTGATTTTCTCAATTTCTCGTGTTTGTTAGGGCATAAATATTTTGGTGATATCGCTTGTGGACGATTTCTTTGCAAAACCTTTACGAAATCCTCCATATATAGGGAGTTGGGGGGAGTAGTCCATGCAGTCCCACAATTTTTACAGTCCATTTGGATATTTAGGGGCCAATTTACAAAAAAATAGGTGATTTTTTCAATTGTTTGTTTGTGTTAGCCTATGAATATTTTGGTGATATGGTTTCCATACGATTTCTTTGCAGACCTTTACAGAGCCCTCCATACGGAGTTGAGGGAGCACTGCGTATAGTCTCACAAATTTTAGAGGCCATTTTGGGCATTTAGGGGCCAATTTAGAGTATTAAGATGATTTTCTTAGTTTTTCTTGTGTGTCAGCCCATGAATATTTGATAATATGGCTATCGGACAATTTCTTTGTGAAACCTTAACGGAACCCGCCGTAGGTAGTTAGGAGAACAGTACGTACAATCTCACAAATTTTAGAGTGATTTCAGGGCATTTACGGGCCAATTTACAAGTATTAGGCGATTTTCTCAGTTTTTCGTGAGTATTAGCCCAAACATCTGGCACCTTGGAGCACCCAAAACATATTTCTGAAAAAAAACATTTTGAGGACCTCCGCAATGAGTTGGGAAACATTACATATTGTCCCACCATTTAAAGACATATTTTTGCTTTTACGAGCTAATTTTTAGAAATTATGCAACTTTCTTGGTATTTCGTGTGTATTAGCACATTGATTTTGCGCCTTAGAGCACCCAAAAAAAATATTCTGAAACTTTTTTATGATGACCTCCATAATAAGTTGGGAAGCATTAGGTATAGTCCCACCATCGTTTAAGGCATATTTTCGCATTTACGAGCTAACTTTTAGGAATTACGCGACTTTCTTGGTTTTTCGTGTATATTAGTCCATTGATCTGGCACTTTGGAGCAACCAAATTACGAGGACCTCCAAAATGAGTTGGTAAATCATTTTAACGCCTATTTCCGCATTTACAAGCCTTTTTTTTATGAATCATGCAAATTTCTCGATTTTCGTGTGTATTAGCCCATGGGTGTCGGAGCACCCAAATTTTTTTTCTGAAAAAATTTTATGAGAACCTCCGTGATGAATTTGGGAACTACCATTAATACTCACACAATTTTTTAACTCCTATTTTCGCATTTACAGACCTTTTTTTAAAGAATTATGTGAATTCCTCGATTTTTCAGAGTGTATTAGCCTATGGATCTGGCACCTCAAAGAACTCAAAAAAAATTTCTTAAAAAACTTTATGATGATCTTCGTGATAAGTTGGGGAACCACCACGTCTACTCACACAATATTTTAACGTCTATTTCCGCATTTACATGCCTTTTTTAGGAATTACGCAAATTCCTCGATTTTTCGTGTGTATAAGCCCATAGATATGGCGGCTTAGAGCACCCAATTTTTTTTTCCTGATAATACTTTACGAGGACCTCCAAAATGAGTTGGGGAACTACCACATATACTTACACTATTTTTAACGCCTATTTCCGCATTTACAAGCCTTTTTTTATAAATTATTAAAAATTCTCGATTTTTCGTATGTATTATCCCGTGGGTCTAACGCCTCGAAGCACCCAATTTTTTTTCTGAAAAAACTTTATAAGAACCTCCGTGATGAGTTTGGGAACTCATATGAATACTCACACAATTTTTAACACCTTTTCGCATTTACATGCCTTTTTTAGGAATTATGAGAATTCCTCAATTTTTCAGTGTGTATTATTAGCCTATGGATCTAGCGCCTCAGAGAACCCAAAAAAAAAATCTGAAAAAACTTTATGATGATTTCTATGATAAGTTGGAGAACCACCATGTATACTCACACTATTTTTAACATCTATTTCCGCATTTACAGGCCCTTTTTAAGAATTACGCAAATTTCTTGATTTTTCGTGTGTATTAGCCCATAGATCTAGCGCATCCGAGCATCCAAACATTTTTTTTGAATTTTTCTTTAAGGACCTTCGTAATGAGTTGAGAACCAACACGTATACTCTCACAATTTTTTAATTTCTATTTCTGCATTTACAGGCCTTTTTTAGGAATTATGCAAATTTTTCGATTTTTTGTGTGTATTAGCCCATGGATCTGGCACATCAGAGCACTCAATTTTTTTTCTGAAAAAACTGTATGAAGACCTCTGTAATGAGTTGGGAAACCACCATGTATACTCACACCATTTTTAACGCATATTTCCGCATTTAACGGCCTTTTCTTAGAAATTGCGAAGCACCCAAACTTTTGGCCTCTCGGAGCACCTAAACTTCTTTATAAAAAAACTTTATGAGGACCTCTGTAATGAGTTGGGAACCACCACATATACTCACACCATCATTTAATGCCAATTTTCGCATTTACATGAACCTTTTTTTAGGAATTACAGAAATTTCTAGATTTTTTTTGTGTATTAGCCCATGAATATGACACCTCAGAGCACCCAATTATTTTTTTTTGAAAAAAACCTTATGAGAACTTCTGTAATGAATTTTGGAACCACCACGTACTCACATAATTTTATTGTTATTTTTGCATTTACATGCCTTTTTTAGAAATTACACAAAATTCTCAATTTTTCGTGTGTATTAGCTGATGGATCTAGCGCCTCGGAGCACCCAAATTTTTTTCTGAAAAAACTTTATGAGGACCTCCATAATGAGTTGGGAACCGCCACGTATTCTCACTTCATTTTTTAATGCCTATTTCCGTATTTACAAGCCTTTTTTAAAGAATTACGCAAATTCATTGAATTTCTGTGTTTATTTAGCCCATGGATCTGGCGCCTCAGAGCACCCTCATTTTTTTTCCTGAAAAAGCTTTATGAGGATCTAAGTAATGAGTTGGGGAACCACCACGTATAATCATACCATTTTTAAAACGCTTATTTTCGAATGTACAGACCCTTTTTAGAAATTACTCAAATTTCTCTATTTTTTATTGGTATTAACCTATTAATTTGGAGCCTCAAAGCACCAACATTTTTTTTATGAAAAAACTTTAAAAGAACCTCTATAATGAGTTGGGAACCACCACGTATACTCATACATTTTTTCAATGCCTATTTATGCATTTACATGCCCTTTTTTTTTTAGAAATTACACAAATTCCTTGATTTTTCATGTGTATTAATTAAGCCCATTGATCTGGCTCCTCTGAGCACACAAAACTTTTTTCTGAAATTTTTTTATGAGAATCTCTGTAATGAATTTGGGAACCACCACGTATATTGAAATAATTTTTTAAACGCCTAATTCCGCATTTACCGGCCCTTTCTTAGGAATTACGCAAATTCCTCAATTTTTCGTGTGTATTGGCCCATGGATTTTACACATCAAAGAATCCAAATTTGTATTCTGAAAAAACTTTATGAGGATCTTGGTCATGAGTTGGGAATCACCACATATATTACACCATTTTAAAACGCCTATTTCCGCATTTAAGGCCCATTTAGAAATTAAGCAAATTCCTAATTTTTTTTTTGTGTATTAGCTTATGGATCTGGCGCATAGGAGCACCCAAATTTTTTTCCAGAAAAATTTTAATGAGGACTTCCGTAAAGAGTTCGAGAATCACCGCGAATACTCATACCATTTTTAACGGCTATTTCCGCATTTACATGCCCATTTTAGAAATTACGCAAATTCCTCAATTTTTCATCAATATTAGCCTATGGATCTGGCGCCTCGGAGCACCCTAAATTTCTTTCCGAAAGAACTTTATGAAGACCTCTGTAATGAGGTTGGAAACCATCACGTATACTCATACTATTTTATTATCGTCTATTTCCGCATTTGCAAACCCTTTTTAGGAATTACACAAATTTCTCGATTTTTTGTGTGTATTATCACCCATGGATCTAGCGCCTCTAAACACCCAAAATAAATTTATGAAAAAACTTTATGAGGACATAAGTAATGAATTGGGGAACCACCACTTATACTCACATAATTTTTAACGCTTATTTCCACATTTACAGACCCTTTTTTAAGAATTAAGGAAATTTCTTGATTTTTAGTGTCTATTAGTCTATTAATCTGGCGCCTCGAAGTACCCAAAAATTTTTTTTGAAAAAACTTTATGAGGTCCTCCATTATGAGTTGTGGAACCACCACGTACAGTCACATCATTT